TAAAAAAATTTAAACCAACATACACACACCCAAACAATAATTTCAGGGCAGCAAGGGGGGTATAAAAGTATGTATATTTAGTTAATTAAATATTGTTATAAAATATAAAATAATAGAAGAATCATATTTTCCTAAAACATTATTGATTCCTAAAACATAAGCAAAATGAAGAAATAAATTTGAAAAAGATGAGAAGGGTTGAAAATAATTGCAGCCCTGTGTTGTGACGTGCTTAAACCACACAACAGAACAAACTCCTTTTTTTCAACCCACTGCCCACCGTGAGAACCATTTTGGCAGGAGTCATTTATTATATTTTATTACCCCAGCTTCCATCGACAACCTCCCCTCCCGGCAAACATTTATTTTTAATCATTTTTTTATTAGCTTTATAGATCTTAATTCATTATTTTATATTATAATATTTTTAATTTTTTATCTATTAAAATTAAAGAAAATAACTATCATTTTATAATATTTCATTAGTTTTATTAACTAATTGTTAAATCTGTTAGTTAACTGTTAATTCTATTAGCTGAAGGTAAATTTTTACCAATTAACAATCAGTTAACAATTAACTAACAGAATAATTTTATTAACTAACTATTTACTTTATTATCTGAAAATAAGTTTTTTGCAACTAATACTCAATTAATAAAATTAACAATTAGTTAACAGAACTAACAAAATATTATAAGTAAAAATTATTATTTTTTAATTCTAATAAGTGAAGAGTTAAAAACATCATAATATAAGATAAAAAGATTAAAATTTACAAATATAATAAAGTAAAAGGTTAGGCTACGAGAACCTACCTCCCTCCTCGCTGTTCATTTCCTCTTCCATTGTTTTTTTCCAGGGTTAATTCGATTATTATAGTAATTAACAAATACGGAGTAATAATATCAACACCAGAGTCATTTTTTTGCCATAATTTACTAAAGGAAACTAAATCTTAACCTCCACCTATTTTAGGCCCCAACATTTAAAGGTAAAACCTAAAATGACTATATTTTCAATCAAGCCATTGAACTTTTCTTTTAAAAACAAATAAGCCCCTAAACCCCATGACTTGTGCAATTTTACCCTCTTACAAGGGCAAATTGGATGTGCAATCACATGACACTAACTCCTGTTTATACCTCGCTTGTGTGGCAAGCTCTTTACATATCATTGCCTATGTGGCATTCAAATTCTCTTTAGGCAAAATTTTTGCTGCCCATGTTTGTCTATCTAGATAAAGAAAATTATATATATATATATAATGAGTAACAGAAATCCTAATTGACAAAATGAACACTTTCTTTTTTTTTTTTTTTATATTTGCTTGCATCCAGGTATACAAAATGGGCAGCAAAAAGAGCATTTGAATGCCACATAACATGTAAAGATATTGCTATGCAAGCAAAGCATTAACAAGAGTTAGTATCACATGATTGTACATGCAGTCCATCATTAAAAAGAAGGTAAAATTACACAAATTGTAAAATTTAGGGATTTATTTGTTTTTATAGAAAGTTTAAAAACACAATTGAGAATATGAAGAGCTTAACGTGGGACTTTACCTTTTTTAAATCTTTGGCAAATTACTTATAGTTTTGAAAAGGTATTAATTAATGGTTTTTGAACCTAAAAAACCTTAGCTTCTTCCTCTTACTTTCACTAGTTGCAGTTGAAGAACAGATTTCTTTCTTTTCTTTTCTTTTCTTTTTTTTTCTTGCCAATCAACCTCTTCTTCCATTGTGATTCTCTTTTTCTGTTCTTCCTTCTTCTCCGATTATTCCTCTTGATTCTCCTTCTCTAATTCTCCCTCAATCAAAAGTTTTAGAGCATAGCAAAGCACTAAGACTTTGCCCTTTTTAAATCTTTGCCAAATTACTCATATTTTTTTAAAGGATATTGATGGTATTTTAACCTAAAAAACCTTAACCTCTTCCCTTTGCCTTTCACTAGTTGCAGTTGCATAACAAATTTCTTTCTTTTCTTTTCTCTTTTTTTTTTTTTTTCCTTGCTAATCATTTTCTTCCTCCACTACGATTCTCTTCTTCTGATCTTCATTCTTCTATGGTTATTCTTCTTGATTCTCTTTCCCCGATTCTCACCAAATCAAAAGTTCATTAAGACACTCATCCTTAATTTTTTTGCTTTTTTAATATTTTCTTTTTTGATTTTGTATTGTATGATAAAACACTTACCTCTGAAGGAAGTTTTGTTAGTACTGTAAAAGGCATCACACTTACTAAGGGTTAATGTCTTCGGATGATAAAACACTTTCGTTATACTAATTTGTTTAGTTTGAGAAGGCAGATGAAATATTTTTTATTTAATTAACCATTTTTTTTTAAAAAAAAGAAGGCAACAACAGAACTGTAAAAAAATAAAATATATTATTTTACTTTAATTTTTATTATTGGTGTTTGTAACCTGAGTCTTTCAAATATTAAGACCTCTCAAAACTAAGTTGTTTCGTAGTAAAACACTTTTTTATAAATTAATTTTTTAAAATTTTAGTAGTTAAATATTCTTTTTAGTCTTTCCACTATTGAAAAAAGACTCTTTTTTTGTTCTTATACTGGAAAATTTTCCTTTTTAGTTCTTAAAATTTAAAATCCAACTCCTTTTTAGTCTTTTTGTTAATTTTTGCTCAAGTATATTTTAATGGGAACATCTGACATAGATATAACATGGACATTACACCGTATAAAGATACTTACGTGAATTTAATATTCCTCGTCACTCTCCCCACCTGAAAAAAAAAACATTAAATTCTTCATTTTTTTTTTCAATTCCCTCTCCAGAAATCATCTTCCTTTCTTCGAAATTCTTCATTCATAATCAACCCTTTACTTGTAAGATTGGTCAAGATATAATTGAGAATTCATAATAGTATTTTCATTGATAAAAATAAAAATCAATTACTAATTAAAGTGATTTATCAATATTATAAACCCTAACTTCTTTTCTACAAAACAGATCTTTCTCATTATTCTTTCCTTAATTTTAGATTCTTGATCGATATATCAAAATGTCATTATTGTCTATACTCCTTAAACCGACAACAATTGGTAGATCTAGGTGATTTTTAAAAATTCAAGTTGCAGTTGTTGGAAGTGATTAGTTTTAACACCTCTATAGCATTCATGGAAGTCAGCATCAAAAAGCCAATTAGAAGAAACTGTAGGAAATATAGGAAATATTGAAAATTTTCTCAGCTTTTTTGAATGTGCATTGTTGGCTGAAATTTTGCAAGTCCTACTGCCTCTCAAAATTGTATACCTGATTTACTTCTTATGTAAGTAAATGAAAATAACAGGTCGGGATGACACCTGCAGGAGTAGAAGTTCCAAGAAGCTTCGTTGATGAGCAAATGCAAGAGAAGTTAAGGGCAATGCCCAAAGAGTTCCAGCCATCTACACCTAAGGGACCAGACCCCAAGTGGCGATACATGTGGAGAGTAGGCCCCAGGCCATCAAATACCCGTTTTCAGGTTTCACTTTCTTTTCTCCTTTGCCTATTAGGTTCAAACGAAATGTTTTTGAATCCTAATTGCATCTGTCCCTTACAGGAACTTAACTCGGAGCCTGTTATACCTGAAGGTTTTCCTGAATGGAAGGAGACCATGGACTCCTGGGGATACAAAATGATATCAGCGGTAGAGGTAAGTTTGGTGTTTATTCTTTGCTTGCCTACCATCCATGTTATATGTAGTTAAAATGTATTCTTGGTTCAGGCTGTTGCTGAAATGGCAGCAATTGGATTTGGCTTGCCAAAGGATGCATTCACAGCCCTCATGAAGCAGGTAAAAAATGTGTTTGCAACTGAGTCAACTCTTGTATCACAGTCTTTATTATATTATCAGACTGCTTATCTATGACAGGCACTTTATAACAGATCCATTTTCTTTTCCAATCCAGGGACCACATCTTCTTGCCCCAACAGGAAGTGACCTTGGAC